TGCTCATAGGTCTCTGGGAAAAACGCAGGCAAACAAAGACTGATTATAGATCTCTCAGCACCACACTCCTCAGGGGTCCCAAGTCTCAACTCACTGAACCCATCAGAAGAATTCTCTCTGCAGTACACAACAATTGACAATGCCATAAAGGCTATCTTGACTGCAGGCATGGGGGCCTGGCTCAGCAAAACCGACATTGTAAACACCTTCAAGTTATTGCCCATTCACCTCTTGTTATGGCACCTGTGCAGAATTAAATGGAATGGCCGGTATTATTTTTTCACTAGGCTTATCTTTGGTTCGAATAGTAGTCCTAGAATTTTTAATACGTTCGCAGAGACATTGTGTTGGCTCTTCCTGAATATGTGCCAGTGCCATACGGTCAACCACTATCTAGACAATTTTTTTTATTCATCAAAAGCAAGTCTTCCCCCTTGGATAAAGCAGTCACGTTATTCAACTCACTGGGGGTACCAGTCTCACTAAAGAAAACAGAGGGTCCTGACACCTTTATTAATTTCTTAGGGTTATACCTGGATTTGGTGACCATGGAAGCTAGCCTTCCACAGGAGAAAGTTACTAGCATTCAACACAATATCAACCATTACCTGTAACCGGAAAGAATTGCAGTCATGAGGGTAGAGCTTTTATCTCCAGGCATTTCAGCCTACTGCCCAAATTCCATGATGACCGAAGCAGTATCTCCCTTAATGCTCAAGCCATGATAGACCTCCTCATGTGGCACACATTTCTCTCTAACTGGAACGGGAGAAGCATGTACACTCCATGGTCATTTGCAATGATGCAGCAGCTACCACGGGCTTAGCAGCCATATTTGGAGATGAATGGCTCTGGGGTAATTGGCCAGTGGAAGTACAAGAAGTGGAGTTCTACAGGAACTCTGCTCATTTTGAGGTATACCTTATAGTGGTGGCAGCAGTGGCTTGGGGCCATTTGTGGTCAGGCAAAACAGTTCAGTGCTATTTAGACAATCTGGTAATTTGCTACATTATTAACAAAGGCCGCAAATCTTCATTGATGATTATGAGGTTCATTAGGAAACTGACGTAGCTAACAGCCTGCAATCAGTTTTATTTGGTATGCTCCCATGTCCCAGGAGTTTTAAACATGGCAGCTGATCACTTGTCTCACTTTCAATTTAAGGCTTTCTGAGAATCTCTACCCACAGCTTCTCATCTGGCCACAGCAGCTCCCCTGTTCCAGGACCTAATCGTGCATTAGATTAATTACTACAACATAGCCAAATCTTAACAAAACTGTCCCTCTCCTCTAACACACATACTGTATATCATAGGGCATTTTCCATAAATAGGAAGCTCATGGCAGAACATAACCTGCATAGCATGTTTGACATAACATCCCTGGTGGCATTCGCCACTTTTTGCCACTTCAAGTAAAAATGATCCCACAACACAATAAAATTATACCTGACAGTCATCCAGCATCATATGTACTCCACGTTCCCCAACAAATCTAGTTTCCTCTCCTCATACCCTATCCGGACCATACTTAAGGGCATATCAAAGGCTAACGGTCTGTAGCAGAGCGCTAGTTTAACATAGACTTTCTCTGCTGGCATTCCAAGAGTTACTCAGGATCAAGTAGGTTATCACAGGAAGAACAGCATAAAATAATCCACGAATATCCCATCACCTTTCCCAATAACTGGACGACACACAGTATCAGGAGCAGAACTGAATTTTAATGACACATACTCTGCTTTTATGCAATTCTCCCATGCAAGGGAGACACCCACAGAAAATTAGCCATTCTCCAATCACCAACTGGTTACAGTCCACACATTCCCTCCCTTTAACCTGGAGATAACATAATTAACTGTACATTTGAAACCCACATTTTTACCCGTTTTCTGGATGCACCCCAAGACTATTATTATTATTATTATTATGATATTTATATAGTGCCATCAAATTCCGCAGCGCTTTACAATGGGTGGTCGAACAGACATGTAGTTGTAACCAGACAAGTTGGACACACAGGAACAGAGGGGTTGAGGGCCCTGCTCAATGAGCTTACATGCTAGAGGGAGTGGGGTAAAATGACACAAAAAGGTAAGGATAGTATTAGACTAGTGACAGTTGCAGAAGAGGAATCAGTCAGGAGTTATTAACAGTTCAATTGATACGCTTTTATGAAGAAGTGGGTTTTTAACGATTTTTTGAAGGAGTGGAGACTGGGTGAGCATCTAACGGAGGAGGGAAGCAAGTTCCACAGGAACGGTGCAGCCCTCAAGAAATCTTGAAGGCGAGCATCAGAGGTGGGAGTACGGACAGAAGATAGACGTAAGTCTTCAGCAGATGACTCACACACATAAATTACATATCCCCTGATAGCCCTGATCTGGGTGAGCAACATACTCAAAAATCACACAGATCAGTTCATGGGTTCATGGATTTCTTGGAGGTCTTCTTATTTCCGACCGCACACGAGGTAGTAGCCGAAAGGAGTTCCATGTGTTTTGGCCTTGCGGTTGGTCGCCGTTCGTGATGTGAAATAAGTCAATACAATGGGCTCTGCCTGGGTTCGGATGATCTCCTCGTTCGTTTGCATCTTTTCATCGAACAGCGTGCCGTTCATATGTTTTCCCACTAACGGGTGGAAGTATGGAGGTCTCTGTGGTGTTCGCGTGGTCGAGTGTCCGATTTGGGTTCCAGACGCTCGACGACCAAACACCGCTGTGTATGGCAAGATGGCCGCCGCCACCTGTTCGTATGCCGAACGGTGCTCACCCAGTGTGTTCGTGTGGTTATCAATCAAGGTAGTGTAAATAACGATGGGGAGGTTAATTAGAGCCACGTTCCTCTCCGGGGTGGCCTGGTTTTTGGGTAGTTTGTTTGTTGAACGGAAATATTTAACAGGTTTGCAATTGGATTCCTACCGAACAACCAGACGAATGCTATAGCAGCCAACTTGTTACTTGTTTTCTTAAAAGTAATGAACCATGGCAAATTGTGCATAATATTGTAACAATCAAAGTTATGGACAGCCAAAATCAAGGAAGGCTATCCATAAGCAAACAGTTGTTCAAGGATATGTCTGATCTAATAGATTCAGCCCCTTTTAAACCTCTCACTAACTCAGTCATAAAAACCGCCATGTACCTGGCTTTTTACAGCTTCCTGAGTCCACGGGAATTCACCATCGGTGGAAAACACAACACACAAATCTGCCTCTGAGTCTCCTACCTAAACAAACAGTTAGATCATTATATACTTACTCTACCCGTGACCAAAACAAGCCAAATGGGTCAACCTGTCCACATAACATATTATCCCACGAACAATAGCTGGTGTCTGGTGAAAGTTTTTGATTCCTACCTACTCACCATACCAGATCACGCCTCTCTGCCACTTTTGTCACTCCATGGGGCTTTCCTTACTACGTCCAAATTCATCTTATACATTCGTTTATTATTAACAAGGCTAGGAATGGACCCTAGCAATTATACAGGACACTTTTTTTAGGATAGGGGCTGCCTCTACGGCATCAAGCCAGGACATTCAAGTCCATATCATTAAATTGTTAGGTCACTGGAAATCATCAGCCTATACTACATACATACCTCAACTGGTACAGGAAATGCGAAAGGCATTCCAAAAAATGTCTTCTTAATTGTAGCTACTTTATATTATGTTCTTTCTCAATAAATGTATTTTGAACATATTATGTCTTTCTTCTTACCCTCTTTTATTACTGGCCTACAGTATATGTCGGTTTCGGTACACCTCAACCGACTTCTCTATCACAAGTTCTGTTCACCAAGCTTACTTTTATCATAACCGATATAGCCCCGAACACAAATGGAAATGAGAAAGGCATTCCAAAAAATGTCTTCTTAATTGTACCTATGTTGTATTATGTTCTTTCTCAATAAATGTATTTTGAACATATTACGTCTTTAATTTCCCACTTTTATTTCGGCACACCTCAACCGACTTTCTCTATCACAAGTTCTGTTCACCAAGCTTACTTCTATCATAAGCAATATAGCCCTGAACACAAACACAGGTCGCCTAGAAATTTCGCCCTGGGGCCTGGGATTAGTCAGCCCTTTGCTAAGCTGCGAAACATTGAAGTCGGCCGCACGCTTCCTACAGACAAGATCACTGATGCACACACAAGGCCACTGCAGACAAGCTCACTACAGACAAGCTCACTGACACACATGCTCAATACAGACAAGCTCACTGACACACTCAAGCTCACTACAGACAAGCTCACTGACACACATGCTCACTACAGACACTGATGCACACACAAGCCCACTGCAGACAAGCTCACTGACACACATGAATATATATACACATACAGTGGTAACTAAATAAACTCACAAGGACAGAGCCATATACTGAACCTGGCTCTGGTGTGGATATCTTTAGGCTCCTTTAAGGATGATCCAAATCCCTCTGCCGATAGTGCTGCAAACCAAGAAGTATTCCAAGATATTTGCAGGAATCAAATGATAATTTGAAAAAGGATTTATTTGTAAGAATAAATAAAGTAAATTTAAAAACTTCTAGTAGTCCAATGTGTCACCAAAACACGTTTTGCCGGATGTGGCTTCATCAGTTGGTGTGTGTTCACTCATTCTGTGCATTGCTTCTTTATATATGGGTTGGATTTTCAATTCTGCGGTCTTAGGGAGATCCACACCCCTTCTCTGTGTTGGTGGTTGTGGGTGAATATTCAATATCCCTTTGTTGGAAAATGAGGGAAATTCCACCAAGGTTCCAAAATAGAGGTTTATTTAAGAATTAAAATATTGCAAAATTAATAAAAATAATAAGACAAATAAAATATAAATCCTTCTGCATAGTCCAATCAGCAAAATGTATTTTTGCCTATTACAGACTTCTTCAGTTGGTTTGTAGATATAGTTGAGCTTCCTTAGTGTCTTTTGTATACCTTTAATTGGATTTCCCAGGCTTTTTTCAATCTTCTGGAACGCAAACGTGCGTTCCATCGATACGTTACTTGACGCGTCTCCATGGGACACAAGTCTGTTCTTTCTCTCAACATCACGTCCTTTGTTTATGACACCGTTATCTTGGTATGCAAATTGCGTTCCGTTGTTCCGTGTCTCTTCGGCTTCTGAACCTTTCGTGAAGCCTTACGAAACTATCTGCGTTCTCTCCTCCCCGTACTTCCCCCTGAACTTTAAATGGGTACACGAGAATCAGACACGGGGAGAAAGAAAATCTATATCCTGTTTTTTATCTGCATTGAAAAGAAACAAGAGTTTAAATATACAATAAAAAACTTAAATGTTTCCTATTTCCTTAATCTTAAACATAGTACAGTTAACACATAAGTGGTCATTTTAAAATGCATAATTGATAGCATGTGACATTATTACATAACGAAACCCATAATCATGCAGGTGGATAAAAATAGTGTGGGGGCTCTTATCTAGTTATCCAGTTAAAAAGAATTCTATTTTCCTGAGACTCCACACTAAAAATGTATTAATAATCCTTAAAAACACAGATTTTCTAAAACATCTAAAAAATGTAAAAAATAATTACAGATGTACATTCAAAAGGGAAATAAGTTATACAAAATGGCACAATTCGAAATCCTGATTTAAACCTTAGGGTATAAGAGTAATAAAATTAAAAATGAATTTCATCTCCTCTTCTCCTAGTTTTTTGATGTAATCTCCTCCTCTCCAGTTTTTTTATTTTAACAAAATATAACTTTTTACAATTGTATATTGGTAACATAGTCTCACACTTGAAATGCCAACCAAGTATCAATCTTCCATTTCCCACTCAAAGTTTTCTCTAGTGATCCATGCAGTATTAGCTGCTAGATGCAGTGTAAAGCTAAAGCTAGTCTCACACTAGAATACTAGAATCAATGACTCAGGCTATCATACACACCCACACAGGCACAGCAAGGGTAAACATACCGTATCACTGTTGGTCTGTCTCCCGCACAGGGCCAGATTAACAAAGGGGCTGATGGAGCTGCAGCTCCAGGCCCAAGCCCATGGAATAGGCCCATTGATTTAAAAAACTATATATATTTTTTATTTTATAAGCTACTTTTAGGGTTGCCAGGTATTTCTCAGGTATTTCTTATGGTTGCCAGGTATTTCTCAAAAGTATTTATCAGGTATTTGAGGCTGCCTAGCCGGTGCTGGTATTGAAGTAATACCGGCCATACAAACGTCAGTCTCAGTATAAACTGAGATTAGATGCAATACTGGCACCGGCCAGTAGGTGGCGCAGTGTGTGTGGAGAGAGGCAGGGATAGGAAGTTACAGCATCTCCCTCCCTGCCTCTTTCTACTAACTGATCCGCGGGGGAGCAGCTCTGCCCAGAGAGTCCCAGCCTGCAGAGACAGTCAACAGCTCAGGTAAGTGAGGGATGGGGGGGAAAGCTGTAGGGAGACATGGACACTGGGGGACAATGAGACACTAGGGGACACTGTGAAACATGGGGACACTGAGACACTAGGGGACACTGGGAGACATAAGGACACTTGGGAACACTGAGACACTAGGGGGGAACTGGGATACCTGGGGACACAGACACTAGGGGAAACTGTGAGAGATGGGGACGGTGAGAGACTTGGGACACTGGGAGACATAGGGACACTTGGTGACACCGAGACACTAAGGGGCACTTGGAGACCTGGGGACACTGAGACACTAGAGGAAACTGTTAGACCTGGGGTCACTGAGACATTGGGACACTGGGAGACATGGGGACACAAACACTGGGGAACATGGGGACGCTGAGACACTAGGGACACAGTGGCCCCATGTCTCCCAGTGGCCCCTAGCCTCTCAGTGTCCCCATGTCTCCCATCCAGTGTCCTTAGTGTCTCAGTGTCCATGGTGTCTCTGTGTCCCCATGTCTCCCAGTGTCCCTGGTGTCTCTCAGTGTCCCTTGTGTCTGTGTCCCTAGTCTCCCAGAGTCCCGTAGTCTCTCAGTGTCCCCATGTATTTCAGTGTCCCCATGTATCACAGTGTCCCAATGTCTCTAAGCGTCCCCTAGTGTCCTAGTGACATGGGGACACTGGGAGACATGGGGCCACAGACTCTAAGGGATACTGGAAGACATGAGGATACAAACACTAGGGGACACTGGTCGACAAGGGGACACTGAGACACTAGGGGCACTGAGAGACAGGGGGACATACTGTCTCAGTGTCTCCTGATCTCCCAGAGTCCTACTATTCTCCCAGTGTCCAGAAGTGTATCTGTGTCCCCTAGTATAAAATAAAAAAATCTCAGGCACTCACTGTGATAGATTTAAGCATGTTTATTGGACACCGCAACATTCTGACCTGTACCCAGGTCTTTATCAAGTCTCCAGTGTCCCCTATATATTACAGTGTCCCCTTTGTAATACAGTGTCTCAGTGCTCCATGTCTCCCAGTGTCCAAGATGAAAGCGTGAGATTAGCATTGGGCAGGGCTTGACAAATTTGCTTTCTATCAAGGAGCCAGCTAAACAATTTAGGAGCCAGCCCCCCCCCACCAAAGACAAAAATAAAATTCGTAAAGGAACACTATAGTCATTAGAACCACTACAGCTTAATGTAATGGCTCTGGTATTTGTAGCCTGTCCCGGTCCCAGAGAAAAGGCAGTTTTTACATTGCTGCCTAGTAACACCTCTAGTGGCTGTTACTCAGATGGCCACTAAGTGTCTCCTAGTACACAATGTGCAGCACCTACATTCAGCATCTCTACACTCTGCATGGAGGCACTAAACGTTCCCCAAAGAGATGCTTTTAATTGATTTAATGCTTCTCTATGAGGAGATGCTGATTGGTAATTGATCATCTTAGCTACGGAGGCCGGCATGGCGCTGGAAAAAAAGATGAGTAAAAACAATGCGATCAGAGGGGGCTGGTGACCTTAACATACACATTCACTGACAGACACCGAAACTGACACACACTTGCCAGAGACAGACACACAAACACAAAGTATTATTATTGATACACTCAAATATATACACACACACACAAACACAAACATTGCTACATACACACAGACAGATACACATACAAACAGACACACGACAGATACATAGAAATGAATAAATCCTTGCTGGAAATTATAGACCTGTGAGCTTAACTTCTGTAACTGGGAAAATATTTGAAGGGCTATTAAGGGATAATATTCAGGAATTCATTGGGAAGAAATTTGTTATTAGCAATACAATAATCAGCATGGTTTTATGAAACATAGGTCATGTCAAACTAACCTAATTGCATTCTATGAAGAAGTAAGTAGAAGTATAGATCAGGGTGTTGCAGTGGATGTGATCTACTTGGATTTTGCCAAGGCATTTGATACGGTTCCTCACAATAGGTTAGTCTTCAAACTAAAAGAAATTGGTCTAGATGAATATTCTTGTTCTTGGGTAGAACATTGGCTTAAGGATGGAGTACAACAAGTTGCCATTAACGGTAAATGATAAAACACAATAAACTCACAATGATGAAAGCATATGTGACTCACTGTGCTACCTGGAGATATAAAGTAGTCTAGTAATGATTAAATAAATACACATGATTATCTATAATGAGAGACATCCAGCTAATCTCCATTCAATATGGACTAGGGAGTAAAAAATAATAATGCTCCAAAAGACCTAAATAGTGTATAGGTATTATAAAAATATTTGCAATATGAGATGTCTACATAGAGCTTTATTAAACTGTCTCTCTATGCATCCAAAGCACATTCTGTGTTAACCCAGTACACTACACAGAATATATATATACATTAATAGTATAGTACTCCTAATTAGTATCCTGGACTAAAAAGAAAAAATTCCAAATATGTAAAGGAAATAACCTATTGGAGAAGATAGTATGGAACTAATATACACTGGCAATATAAGTGTTGAGTGAAAGGGTTCAAGCCAGAGCAAACCAACTAATCATTTTAGAACAGGTTATCTCCTAATAGATATATTGAGAAATTAGTCGAAAAAATACTATCCATAGAGACTATGATGCTTAGAATGCTCAATAGTCTATGGTTAAATAAATAGGAGTATAGGTCTGTCAGAATGTAAATATAATTTTGCCTCTTTATAAATCGCTGGTAAGACCACACCTTGAATATGCTGTGCAATTTTGGGCGCCTGTTCTAAAGAAAGATATCATGGCGCTAGAAAAAGTCCAGAGACGAGCTACAAAATTTAAAAATGGAATGGAGCATTTTAGTTTTGAAGAAAGGTTAAAAAAATTTAATCTGTTTAGTTTGGAAAAACGGCGCCTGAGAGGGGATATGATAACTTTATACAAATATATTAAGGGCCAGTACAAACCTTTATCTGGAAATCTATTCATAAACAGGGCTATTCATAGGACAGGAGGTCACACATTTAGGCTGGAAGAAAGGAGATTTCATCTAAGGCAAAGAAAAGGTTTTTTTACTGTAAGAGCAATAAGGATATGGAATTCTCTGCCTGTAGAAGTGGTTTTATCAGAGTCATTACAGATGTTTAAACTGCAATTGGATAAATACTTACAAAAACATAACATACAGGGATATCATTTCTAATTAGTGGGGTAACAGCTGCTTGATCCAAGGAGACATCTGACTGCTATTTTGGGGTCAAGAAGGAATTTTTTTCTAGTTTTTGGCAAAATTGGAAGCGCTTCAGACTAGGTTTTTTGCCTTCTTTTGGATCAACAGCAAAAAACATATGTGAGGAAGGCTGAACTTGATGGACACAAGTCTCTTTTCAGCTATGTAACTATGTAACTATATAATTGTAAGCACCAGGCCCACTGGGCTCTTAATCTGGCCCTGCTCCCGCAGTAGCTGAAGTCTTAGTGACCCCATGCAAAGGAAAAACCATGAACATCATCCTCTTCTCCATTCCATTTCCCTTTTTTTTCTGGTGCCAAGAATGGCACAAATTTAAATCACAAGTTTAAAAAAGCATTAAGAGATTGCTATTCTGTCATGTCTCTGTTCGGAAACTAGAAATTATTCCACCACATTGGTCAAAATTAGGCCAAATTTCTGTTTGGTACAAATTTAATCTTCACATCTACTTTAAATGCTCTTTGTTCTGCATGGGACTTGCACCCTTTCTTTTTATATTTTTCTTACTTCTTGTCACTCTTATTTCCATAATTTTTTCTTCACCTATCCTCTGGGATTCCTGTTCAGAGAAGCCTAGCATCCTCCAGCCTTCTAATCTC